CTCAGATCCAACTTATAGCTGACCCTCCCGCAGGCTTTTGACAAGCTATAAATCACACAGGAGATTGCTCTTAGAGTTGCTGGTGGCTTTGAACTGCCATAGAGGCGTGGTTTAAATTCTCTGAAAACTCTAAGGGAATTTTTAAATTGCCTTACAAATGTTAGTTACTGTATGCTTGGTTATAGATTACATGAAATATTTTTGTTTAGTTTGTATCTTTAAATTTTAAGTTTAAAATTCTTTTTGGCTGTTGGTTTGTTTTTTTTTTATATATAGTTTCCCTTTGAATATTCTGTTGGATCGCTTTTTTTTTTTAATTTACTGCATGAGAAGCTCCAGTGGACCAGGCAGTGAGCAGTATACATTGATTCCTTCCTTCACAGATGTAGTGTTATTGTAGGTAAAAAAAAAAAAAAGAAAAAAGTTAAACTAGTTATAAATGGTAGAAGAGCTTCCCTTTCTAAAAGATAAAAGGGACAACACTCCAACTTTATTTTTAAGTAACACAAATTTTTTGTTCTTTCATAGTAAAACTTGTCTTTTACTTTGTAGCTACTAGTTCTTGATTCTTGCTTTAAAATAGTATTTTTGGTCAAAATCTACCCATGAAGTGAATTGGTCTAGCCATTTTTTGAAAACATAGCAATCGGTCTTTTACCTATTCACATTGGAATTTCTCTAGATACTTATAAATGAGTACAGATAAATTTATATGGGGGCACTAATTGTTGGATTCTTCATGGTGGTTGAAAAGACAACAGCAACAAAAAAACAAACCAAAAAAATATCTGGAAACAACCAAGATGAGTATTTCTATTGAATTATAATTTATGGCCTATCTAGGTAATGGTATTTAGTGCAACTAGTAAAGAATTAATCAGGTCTTTATTTTGATATTGAAATATTTCTATACAAAGTGGGGAAAACATCAAACACAACCAGATTGCAAAATAGAAGAAAATATCTAGATGAATATGCCAAACTGTTCTAAAACTTCCCCTGCGGGATTTGGGAAAGTTATTTCCTGGTAATTCAGACAATAGCCTTCGCTTTCCCAACCATTAAATATGTATAAGAAGGTCTTTCTTTTTTTTTTTTAAATTTTACTTTATTATTTTTTGTGCATGTACCGTCAAATCAGATCTGACTAGTATAGGAGGAAATTGTCCCTCCTTCTCCAGCAGAGAAGTTCTTTCTTACAGAAACCATGCTAGCAATTTTTTCTGTTGTTTAGAACAGAGAAAAATTTATTTCCCAACTTAATGTGAGGCTTAATACAACTTAAACCTGAAAAAGTTAGCATTTATCTACAAACAAAAATTACAAATACAGACATAGCACTTCCACATGCAATTAATAAATTAAATAATGGCATATTGTATGAGTGTAATATGACCTAAAGAAGATCATACTATATGAAGAAGGATTTTACAGAATTTGCTTTTAGTAATCTGTAATGTAAGTAAGTATTTTCATAGACGAAGGGAGAAAAATGATAGAATCTCAGAAAATGCCCTTTTTAAAAGTTTAGCTTGATTCTCACTGCTGGCATATGACACAAGCCAAGTAGAGATGCTTCCATCCAGATTCCTGACCTCCCACAGTGCTGCTGCATTTTCCTGCACTAATTTTCTCTCTGCTTTGGGGGCTGTCCTTGGGAACTTCCTCTATTTTTTGTCTTAATGGGAGTTTCTCAGTTTAAGACGCAACATGGCTTTCCTCCCTTTGTAAAGTTGATTGTGCAAAGGCATTTGACTTTATAATGTGTGGATAATAATAAACTATGCTTAATGTTGAGAAGAATGGGAATCCCAGAACACTTAATTGGGTTTATATTAAACCTAGATCAAGAAGCTGTTGTCTGAACAGAGTAAGGGAGTACTGTGTGGGTTAAAAATCAAGAAAGATATGCTGTTTCTTTTCTTCATATCTGTTCAATATGTATGCTGGGCAAATCATTCATGAATCTGGTCTTTATGAAGAAGAATGTGGCATCAGGATTGGAGGAAGACTCCTCAACAACCTGTTTTGTGCAGATGACACAGCCTTGCTTGCTTAAAGTGAAGAGGACTTGAAACAACACAGAAGATCAAAGATGGATTACATCTCAACATCAAGAATACAAGTCTTCACCACTGGGTTAGCAGGCAGCATTGTGCTAGGTGTAGAAAAGATGGAAATTCTCAATGATTTCGTTTTACTTGGATCCACAGTCAATACTTTTAGTGCCAGCAGTCAAGAAATCAAAAGATGCATTGCACTGGGAAAGTCTGCTGTCAAGGACCTCTCCAAAGTACTGAGGACAAGGTCATACTAAAGTATGTACAGAGGTCAATGATGTTTTACTAAAGTATGCTTGATTCAGTCTATGATCTTTTCAGTTACTTTCTGTGCATCAGAATGTTGAGCAGTGAATAAAGATAACAGAAGAATTGATGCCTTTGGGTTATGGTATTGGGAGAAGAGTACTGAGTATCCCATGGATTGCCAAAAGAGCAAACAGATCTGTCTTGGAGAGAGTGAGGCCAGAGTTCTCAGAGGCACAGATGATAAAACTTCGCCTCACTTCAGGCATGTTGCTGGTAGGGGATATACCTTGGAAAGGGACATCATACTTAGAAGGGTGTAGTGTCAGTGAAAGAGAGGAAAACCCCTAACAACATAGATTGACACAGTGACTATACCAAATGGGCATAAGCGTTTCAGAGATGATGAGAATGGCACCGGAAAGGACAGGGTTCAGATAATGTTCATAGGGGCACTATAAGTTGTATTCGACTTAACAGCACCTAACACCACAACTCTTCACCTTTCATTTTTTATGCAGAAATATCTTCATTTTTAATATTTTTGAAGAATAATTTCTATGGATTTAGAGGAAGAAGAGATTGTTACCTGCTTAAAACTGGATCCTACTAGTGGTTATTGATATATGTTCTTTACCAAGTAAAGGGGGCTCTGGTAGCCTAGTGGCAAGAAGCTGTGCTGTAGTCCCAAAGGCACATGATTGGAGTCCATCAGCTGCTCCGTGAGAGAAGGATGGGCAATCTCCCCTGGCCTCTGAAAATCCACCAGAAGGTCAGCTATGGTTCGGTTCTGACATTGGCACACAACAACCACCACCACCACCAAATAGAGAAAGTTTCCTTTACTTGTAGTTTTCTAAGAGACCTAACCACAAAAGGAATATTGAGTTTTATTAACAGTTATGAATTATAAGAGGACTGCAACTTTATTTTTAAATGTTTATGCCATGTACTTTAAAACATAACACCACGAGAGCTTTTACTTAAAAACATTATTCTTTTTCCAAGTTTACATAAAATTATTTTTCTAGTACTATCACTATCTTAAAAAATAATTTCAGCCTTTTGGAAAAAAATA